TAAAACCAGGTGGGCAGGGCCTTGGCCTCAGAAATTTGGGGCGTCTGGACAACATGCAATGGTGAACGTTATCTTATTCGGCGTTTCCACAATTGGCGGAAGGGTGGGAGTTCGATACGATGCAATACACGATACCACCGCTGCGGACACCGTCCCCGGGCCCCGCTAAGACCAGGTGGGCAAGGCCTTGGCCTCAGAAAACTGGCGGCTCTTGGCACGCACAAAGACATGCTAGTACTGGATGTTCTCCTTGGAGGCCCGCGTCCGAACCGAACCTATAGTACACCCATATCGTGATAGATTGTTCCCCGAGCGGTGAAGCCGGAACGCGCCCGAGACGAAGCATATACTATAAGATTTCGTGGTGCGCGCGTCGCCCCTGGTGGGCCGGGCTAAGACCAGGTGGGCAGGGCCTTGGCATCAAGAAAATCTGGCGCGTCTGGACAACAGGCAATGCGATCAGGCGGGTGGTGACGGGGGGTGGCCCAAATTGGGGGGTGAAGAAGAGGGCACTCTAGGGGTCCTTTAGGGCCCCGTTCGGACGCCAACTGGCTCCAAGAGGGGCCCTACAGGACCCCTGTAGGCCCACATGTACAGCAAACTCATTCAAAAAAAAAACGGATACTACTCAAGACCGGGTTTTCACAGACACGATGCTTAGTTCTATATGTGCCAGCCTTCATGCAGCCGCGGAGTCACGGGGGGAGTTCTCGCCACAGTCTTGTTCCCTGCTCCGCAGCCTTTTTCAGGGTTCAGCCTGAGTCCGCCAGAGGACGATAACGTTACTGAACTTCGCCTAGCGCTTGAGAAAAGTTCTATTCAGAGGGGAGGAGGGAGGGGGGCGAAGAAGAGGGCCCTCTAGGGGTCCTTTAGGGCCCCTTTCGGACACCAACTGGCTCCAAGAGGGGCCCTACAGGGCCCCCTTGGGCCCACATGTACAGCAATCTATGAGGAGAGGGGGGGGGGCTCTGTGCCTCGAGCAGTCCAAGCGTTCTCCCTCGGGAGCAGAGAGCCAAGAGCCGATGATGGGCGCTCGTTCTGGGGGCCTCCCTGGAGCTCCTCGCTCCAGTCTGCGTCGACGGCTGCGTCGGACGTCCGTCGACCTGGGCCGAACTCGAGTCGAGCTAGACTTGGATTCAAACCAGAGTCGAATAGATTCGCTCGGTGGGCCTCAGGGAAGTATTCTAAAACGAACATCTAACTCGTGGGAGCGATTCATGGCTACTACGCTGAATCAAAATGTCATTAAGCTGGATTAAGCCCGGGAGAGAGCCCAGGGATAAACCGGATAAGCGGAACTGAAAGGAATTAGGCAGGTTTATGCCGGATTAGGCCATAGCGGATATACCAACAACGATGCTGGATTCAACCTCCAAGAAATCGCATCCCAAACTGGGGTGGCACGGGTGGCACGGGAGCAAGCGAGAGCATGACAGCAGCCCTCCCAGCGGCGTCGGAGAAGGCCCAGAAAGCTCCTTTCCAAGGCCTGCGGCCTTCTGAGCCTTCCCCCCTGGGCGCGCCGCGGAGACGAGCCCGAGCCGCTGCTTGACGGCTGCCAGGCCCAGCAGAGGCCCCCGGAGGCCGAGGATGGCTCAGACCCCCCCGTCGCCACCGCCTAGAAAGCGCGAAGATGTCTGGGTGGGCAGAACAGGCCCAGGGAGGGGGGACCTTCGAGCTCGAATCGGCGATGCATCGCCGGCAGATCGGCGGCAGGTCCCAGGCAGCGAGTCCGCACACGGCCCTGGGCGGGGGGGCGGGCTGCCGAGGGGCGATCACCAGGCGGTTGGCCTGCATCGCCCCCCGGGGCGCTCTGGGCAACCCCAGGACGCTGCTCGACGAGGTGCAGCTGCTGGAGAGCATCCCGATGCTGGAAAACCCAATCGATCCTCGATCGATCGATCCTCGACCGATCCTCGATCGACGATCGATCCTCGATCGATCCTCCATCGAGCGTGGTCGGCGCCACCCCGACGAGAAGCGGGCCAGATCGCCCCGGCGCCCGGCCGGCACAGGAGCGCCAGCCCGAGCAGCAGCGGCGGCGCGCCGCGCGCCTTGCGGAGAGAGAGAACCCTTTGTCCCCCTCCTTCTCCTTCCCCTCCTCCCCCCTCCTCCTCCCCTCCTCCTCCCCCCCCACTCATTTTCCTCCTCCATCCCTCTTCCTTACACATAGCCTCTCCCTGTCGCACCCTGAGGCTGGTCGAAACGGCGGGCTGGGCGTTTCGCCTGAGACTTCCTCACAAAAAATGATGCTGACGCTCGAAATTTGCAAGAGTCAGTTTCACGGATGGAGGGCAGCACGCTTTCAGAATGTGGCTCTCGCCAGAGCGCCGCGCGCATTCGCTTTGAAAATTGTCAGGAATGCCACGGATGGAGGGCGGTTCGATACAAAAAGAAACTCTCGCCTTGGCGATGCGCACATCCGTCTGAAGAGTTTGCAACAGTGTCAACGAGTATCATGGTTAACGTCCCAGACATGGTGCTTTGGCACTGTCGGAATGTCAGGGCGCAACAGTCACGTTGATTCGTGATGCTCAAGTCCCCGGAATGGTGTTCCGGCAAGTTCAGGATCGTCACGACGCAACAATAGCGGTAATTCGCGGCGTTGAGGTCTCATGAATGTTATGGCACAGTTCCGGTTGTCTGCCAACAGGGCACACTTCCCTTAGTAGCATGATGCTTGTAGGGGCCTTGGAGGGTGTATTGCAATGTCGTTGCTGAGCCTTGGGTTTACATTGGTCCTCCTCCTCCTTCTCCTCCTCCTCCTCCTCCTTCCCCTTCGGGAAGCAGGTTTATCACTGCCACGCCCGACCAGCAACAAACTCGGGACCATGACCACCACCCCACATCCTGTTCAAAATCTATCCTGAAGAAGGACCCAACAATAAGCAGTTCTGAATACCGCGGTTAAGAATATCGTCTTCGGTGAAGCTCCCTGTGGGACTACGGCCACGAAACGTGTGAGAGGTGTGCCGAAGCAGGCGCGGCGACGCCATGAGGGCGCTGCTACTTGGGCCTTCGTTGGAACTCCCTATGCGGCCACGACGCGTGTGAGGGGTCTGCCAAAACAGTCGCGGCGGTGCCATGCGGTCGCTGTTACTGGAGCATTGGGCCACGAAACGTGTGAGGGGTGTGCCGACTTGGGTGCGGCGGTGCCATGCGGGCGCTGTTACTGGGCCCTTCGGAGGAGCTCCCTATGGGGACATGAAGCGTGTGAGGGGTATGCCGAAACGGGCGCGGCGTTGCCATGCGGGCGCTGTCACTGGAGCATTCGGCCACGAAACGTGTGAGATGTATGCCGAACTGGGTGCGGCGGTGCCATGCGGGCGCTGTTAGTGGGGCCTTCGGTGGAGCTCCCTGTGGGGCCACGAAACGTGAGGGGTGTGCCAAAAGGGGCGCGCCGGTGCCATGCGGGCGCTGTTACTGGACCCTTCGGAGGAGCTCCATATGGGGCCACGAAGCGTGTGAAGGGTATGCCGAAACAGGAGCGGCGGTGCCATGCGGGCGCTGTCACTGGAGGATTCGGCCACGAAACGTGTGAGATGTATGCAGACTTGGGCGCGCCGGTGCCATGCGGGCGCTGTTGCTGGGGCCTTCGGTGGAGCTCCCTGTGGGGCCACGAAACGTGTGAGGGGTGCCGAAATGGGTGGGAGGACCGCATGTGGACACCGCCATTGGGGCCTTATGTGGGGTTCCCTATGGGGCCACGGAGCGTATGAAAGGTGTGCCGATTTCGGCGCGGTGGTGCCATGCGGGCGCTGTTAGTGGGGCCTGCGGTGGAGCTCCCTGTAGGGCCACGAATTGTGCGAGAGATGTGCCGAAATGGGGCTGGCGGCGCCATGCGGACGCTACAACTCTGGGGCCTTAAGTCCGAGGTGGAGCTCCCTGTGGGGCCACGAGATGTGTGAGATGTGTGCCGACATGGACGTTCGGAGGGCAGAGGCACGGATGCGAGGGAGGGAAGAAGGGCGAGGAGGAGTGAGGACGAAAGCGGGGCGCTGTCTGCTCAAAACGATAACGCAACACCACAGGATGGTTGGGAACAATACACAAACTACAGTTTGCACCAACATCCAGATCATGCACGGACGCCCCGCGATCACTTTGCATTGGTATTTGACAGGGGACGACGGGGGGGCGACATATTGCCTGCTGTGTGCAACGCCACCCCCCAAATCATTCCTATCAACACAATACCCTGGCGAAGGACCCAATCATCGGAGCGAATCTGGTTTTCAGTTGAGCTCCCCATAAGGCCACGAAGTTTGTGAGAGTGTGCCGAACTAAATCGGCGGCCGCATGCGGACATGACCACTGGGGCCCTCGGTGGAGCTCCCCATAAGGGCACAAGACGTGTGAGGAGTGTGCCGAAGTGGGTGGGGCGACCGCATGCGGACATGATCACTGGGGCCTTCCATGGAGCTCCATATGGGGCCACGAGCCGTGTGAAGGGGTGTGCCGAATTTGGCGGGGCGGCCGCGTGTGGGCATGGCCACTGGCGCGTTCGGAACAGCGCCTTCTGGGGCCACGAAACGTGCGAGAGGTGTACCGAAACAGGTGGGCCGCACGTGGAAATGGTCGCTGGAGCCTTCGGTGCAGTTCCCTGCGGGGCCACGAAACGCGAGGGGTGTGCCAAAATAGATGGGGCGGCCGCGTGTGGACACGGCCACTGAGACCTGAAGCGGAGCTCCCTATGGGGCCACGAAGCGCGCGAGTCTACGCGGGGGGCGGCCGCTTGTGGACATGGCCGCGGGGGCCTTCGGGAAAACTACTTGCAAGGCCACGAACCGCGTGAAGGGTGCCACGATGGGCGGGGCGGCAGCACGCGGACATGGCCACTAGAGCCTTGTATCACCACTCGCACGGCGCACGCTGCGCGCGCCCTTCGCGCCCCCTGCTGCAGGGCGCCCCTCTCGGGCCGCCGCTGGGCCGCGCGAAGGCGCGGCCACACGCGCCTCCACCAAAGTGGCGCAGAGAGCCTGCGCACCGCAAGAAGACACCCGTCAAGGAGAAGTGAGGCGCCTCTGCAGTCTGCCCGTCTTCAGGTCGAAGCCAGCCCTGATCTGCTCGATCTTCCGCATCCCCCCGAGCGCCTCGCCCGACGCGGGCTGGCACTCGCCACCAACCACCCCGTGCTTGCCATTGATCTCCCGCGCGTAGCAGCGGCATCTCTTGCACCCGCGGTACCCGCTGATGGCGCGCAGGTCGCGCTCGCTCGTGACGCCCTGAGATCCCGACCCCGAGGCAGCGCCAGCCGCGGCAGCTCCTGCCCCCTCGCCGTCCTCAGCCTCTGGGCCGACCCTGGCGCTCTCGGCCTCCAGCCGGCTCGCGCAGGCAAGGGCCACGGCGACCGCCCCAGCCGCTGGCACGGCCGAAGCTACCCTCCGGCGCCAGGCCCCGCCGGCGCCCGGGGCGAAGGCCTCGTGGTCGCAGGCGTGGCCGTAGAGCTCCTCGATGCCACTCACGCCCCAAGCAGACCTGAGGCACATGACGCAGCGGACCCCGTCGTTCGCGATCTTGAAGGTCTCGTGCTTCCTGAGCGAGAGAAGCGGGCCCTTCTTGCACCCCTCGCAACCCCCATCGAAGACCCGTCGGAACTGGGTCGATTCGCCACCAGCGGCACCAACCCAATGAGCAACTTCATCGAGAGCAAGGGCCCTGACCTCACGAGCCTTCCTGACGCCAGCAGGAGAACGGAAGACCTGAGCGGCGCACTTGGCGCACCTGTCCGCCTACATGCTGCCTCGCCTGTTGCGCCTGGTGCTCTTCCCATCTAGCACGCCCTGCCTGGCGGCGTGGCCCTTGATCTCCTTGGCCGCGAGAGCCCTGTCGCCCGGGCCCCCGTAGTCATCGAGAACTCGCCAGGTCCTGCGCCACAGAGCCCCCTGGGCCGCCGTCGCCTCGGCGGCGGCTGCGCGCCCGCGCTCGAGCAGCCCATCGGCGACGAAGGAGGCGTCGAACGAGGCCGTGATGGGCGGCAGGGAGTACTTGAGAATCACGAGCAAGCCCAGCAACTCCGCCCCTGCGATAGACCGCTGCGGACCTGAAGGGGGCGCCCCCAGCGCCTTGACAGCAGCCCTGGGCCGAGGGTCTACCCGCGGCTCGCCGGGCGGCAGCTCAGCCACCGCGCTATCAGCATCAGCATCAGCATCAGCACAGCATCAGCATCAGCATCAGCATCAGCATCATTATCATCACCAGAAGGATCAGCATCAGCATCAGCATCATCATCATCATCATCATCATCATCATCAGAAGCAGCAGCATCGTCGTCATCATCATCAACATCAACATCATCCTCATCATTACCAGCAGCATCATCACCATCATCAACATCATCATCATCATCATCATCATCATCATCATCATCATCATCATCATCATCATCAGCATCATCATCATCATCATCATCATCATCATCATCATCACCATCACCATCACCATCATCATCATCATCATCATCATCATCATCATCATCACCATCAGTATCAAGCAGCATCATCACCATCGTCATCATCACCAGCAGCATCCGCACCATCATCATCAGCAGCATCATCATCATCAGCATCATCATCAGCAGCAGAGTCAGCAACAGCATCATCATGCTCAGATTCATCATAAGCATCATCACCAGCAGCAAGATCATCACCACCATCGTCATCATCATCAGCATAATCAGCATCATCAGCATCCTCGTCATCCTCGTCCACATCAGAATCCTGTTCATCATCATCATCAGCAGCATCATCAGCAACATTATCATCGTCACCATCATCATTGTCATCATCATCATCATCAGCAGCATCATAATCAGCATCATCATCGTCATCATTATCATCGTCAGCATCATCATGATCATCATCATCATCATCATCATCATCAGCCTCATCATCAGCATCATCAGCATCAGCATCAGCATCATCATCATCAGCAGCAGCAGCATGCTCATCATCAGCACCCTCATCAGCATCATCATCATCAGCAGCAGCAACAACATCATGTTCATCAGCATCATCAGCATCATCATCAGCATCAGCATCAGCATCAGCATCATCATAAGAATCATCAGCATCAGCATCACCAGCATGTCATCATCACCAGCAGCAGAATCAGCATCGTGATCATGATCATGAAAAGCATCATCATCACCATCATCGTCAGAATTAGCAGCATCATCAGCAGCAGCATCAGCATCATCAGCATCATAAGCATCAGCACTAGCATCAGCATCGTCATCATTATCGTCCTCATCAGCATCATGATGACCATCAGCAGCATCCCCACCACCATCATAAGCAGCAGCATCATCATCATCATCATCCACATCAGCATCAGCATTATCGTCATCATCAGCATCGTCATCATCATCGGCAGCATCCTCATCATCAGCATCATCATCATCGTCGTCATAATCAGCATCATAAGCATCAGCATCATCGTCATTATGAGCAGCAGCATCGTCAGAATCATCAGCATCCTCAACATCAGCATCATCGCATCAGCATCATCACCGTCATCATCCTCATCCTTCTCCTCATGCTAATCCTACTCCTCATCTTCATCCTCCTCCTAATCCTCATCCTCCATCTCCTCCTCCTCCTTCTCCTCCTCCAGCCCCTCCTCCTCCTCCTCCTCCTCTTCTTCCTCCTCCTTCGCCTACTTCTCAAACTCCTCCTCCTCCTCCTCCTCCTCCTCCTCGTCCTCGTCCTCCTCCTCCCTGTCCTCCGCCTCCTCCTCCTCCTCCTTCCCCCCTCCCACCTCTCACCTCCCACCTCCTCATCATCCCACCTCCGACCTCTCCTACCCCCGCCCAAGCCCGGCGAGGGCGCCGCCGAGCAGCAGCGTGCTCCCGGACCTCCTCTGCCTGCCGCTACCGCTCCCGCGGGACGCCCACGGCGACGCCGCGATCGAGGACCGACCAGACGGACGACGAAGCCGAAAGCGACCGAAGCCGATCCCTGAAGATCCTGGCGCTGCTATGTATTCAAGACGAATGGTTTCCCCCAGTCGCAACGTCGGCCCTCCGACATGGTCCGCAGGATCCTCATCGCCCTTCTTTGCGCGTGCTCCCTCTCCTCCTCGACTCCTCTTCTTCACCGCCCGCGTCGTCCCTCATCTGCCCCCCTCGTCCCCCTCCTCCTCCTCCTTCTCCTCCTCCTCCTCCTCCTCCTATTCAGTCTCTCTGCCCTCAGTCGGCTCTCCGCCCTCCTCCTTCCTACTACTACCTCGTGGACCCCCCTCCTCCCGACCCCCCCAACCGTCCTCCTGGAACAGGCCCGAGACCGCCGTCGGCCCCAGGCCCCCCTTGTCAGCCCAGGGCCGCCTGTGCCATCCCGCTGCCGCGAGGATGCCGCCGACAGGGAGGCCAGCGTTTCTTTGAGAGGTGGCTATACAGAGGTCTCCCAGGTGAGGTCCGAGTTGATGCGGTCGGAAGATCGGGCAGCATCGCCGATGCATCGGCGACGTCGGCGATGCATGGGCGGCGTCGGCGTGGAGAAAATCGGGTTCCACATCGGACCGCATCGCCGATACATTGGCGATGCGGCGCACCCCTCCGACCCTATCGACTCCGACCTCATCTGGGAGGCCGAGATTCCAGTAGAGGAACAGAAAGCGGCATAAACATCAAATTTCGTATGTTCGCGCGGACTTCTTGGATCTGCGCTGGAACCTCCTGGCGGCGTTTCCAATGCCGCCCCTGGCGCGGGAAGGGAAATTCAGCGCAGATCCAAACAAATCCGCGTGGACCTCCGAATGTTACCGTTAATGCTGATATTCCTTCCCCGATACAAGGTGACGAGATCTGACACTAGCCACTAACCCCAGGCCAGGCCCATTCTGCAGAATGGGCTTGGCCCAGGATCAGCTTGGGAAGGGGCGGTGGATATGTATAGATCTCGTCATCTGGTAGTTGGAAGAAAGAAAAACAAGACATAAGCATTCGATGGTCCTCGCGGATTTCTTGAATCTACGCCAAAAGAACGCCCCTCGCGCGCGGAACGCCGCCAAGGGGAACCAGCGCACATCTAAGAAATCCACGCGGACCCCAAAAATCTTCCGTGTATGCGACTGATTTCTTCCTCTAGTGATCCTCATGGCCTCGCCAAGGCTGGGGGGGGGGGCACCCTCGAGCCAGACAGCGGCGTCGGACATCGCGGAAGGCGCGAAAAAAGCAGGCAACATCCGCATCCCCCTTGGCGTCCCCCCGCCCTCCCCCGCCCATGCCTCCCGCGCCTTTTTTGCCCCACGTTTCCCCCCTTCCCCTTCGCATCCGTCCCCTCCCCTCCCCAACGCCGGAAAAATCCCCAGCGGGACTGATCCCCGATGTCGATACATCTTCGTGCCGTCGGCTCGCTAGGGCGTGCTATAATGCCTGTCGGTTGCCTGGCAAGGGATGTGCAACATGTTGGGGGTCCATCCTCCTTTTTTTTTCGTGCTCCTCATGAGGGGAGAGGGGACGTGATGTACATATGTATATATATATGTATGTATACATACATATATATATATATATATATACATATATATATATATATGTACATATATGTGCGTGTTATGCAGACACCCACACATTCCTATACATATATAAATATAGGTGTATATATACACACGCATACATACATCAATGCATACGTACATGCACATATAAACATGCATGCATCTGCATGTACACGTCTGTACATATCATACGCGCGACAGTACATTTACACACATAAACACCAACATATATGTTTAAATATGTGCGTACATGTATACGGTTGCACATGTAATCCGGCGGCCCCCTTCCGTGGGCGCAAGGCTGCGAAGGTGTGTGCAATCAGCTGTCATGTGTTATGTGTTGTCATTTGTTGTTTGGCCTTGGACCCCATGGTCCGACGTCGATGAGAAAAGCCTGGATCGGACAACATCATATCTGAAGGGGCCATGGGACACACAAATAACTACACACAAATAACAGGATTCCCAATATTTTCCCATATTTTATCGGTTTTGTCTTCCCCCCCACTTCCTATATTTTCCAACGTTTTCCTGGGAGTCGACGATTAATTGTGTCTGTGTTTTTGTCCCTCCTGAATATCTTCGAAGCCCTCTTCCCTTGGCCGCCCCACTGAGATCCGGCGTGCCGCACAGATGGCAGAGCCGGATCTGGGAGGCAACGTCGCGAGGACACAAGCTAATGGGAGAAGCATCGACCCTGAATCGGCGATACATCACCGATAGATCGTCCACGGGCCCCCGCTGGGGAAACCGCGCAACCCTGGGGGGGGCTATCGGGCTCCTATCGGCGATCAATGGGCGATCGGGGGCCGATACGTTCCCCCCTGAGTCTATCCCCCTACCATTGCCCCCGAAGATAGATCTGTGATGGCCCTGGGACCCGAAACTGGGCGAAAACGCCCGATTGAACAAACTCGGGTTGAAAACTAACACCATATCCTCTCATGATGATCGATACATGACCGGACGCGTCACCAGAGCGCCCGAGAGAACTTGCCAGGGCGCTTCCCTAGGTCGCCAGCAGGCACCTGCCAGGACGCTCCTCTGAAACGGCCGAAAACATCCTTGGATAACTGGTATTTCGCAACGGCCTGTTGCAAGTAATTTGTGCGCGTGCCTGTGCGTGACAGCTCGTTAAACTTACATGGATAGTGTTGGGCGGAGATCAAGCAACTCGCTCACATAGGGTCGACCCCGCACACGAGGGGTAACCGTAGGAGGGGGACCAGCTCAGGGGGGGAAACCTCGAGCTCTATCGGCAATACATCGCCGATCGATCGGCGATGGAGCCCCGATACTGGAAACCCACTCTCTTGGCCAGGGTGGGCCATCGGGCCGGTCGGCGATCAGTGGGCGATTGGGGGCCGACGCGCCCTCCCCGGAGCCTATCCCATCCTGACGTTGCCCCTGACCCCAGCTCTTGGCACACCCGCAATGGCAACGGAAAAAATGGGAACGATGCCCAAACATCAAACGTTGTCCGAAACAGGCAGCGGCCGCTGATGGACAAAGTCCGCGGCGACGCCGACAGCGATCACTCTTCAAAAATGGACAGGAACTGCTGTCAGTCTTCGTACTCACCCTTCCTGTGCCCCAACATGCGACGTCCTGATGTTTTCAATAACTACGCGGCCCCCTAAAGCCCGACCCTTTCCCTGAGACCGGTTCTTCATCCTGCGTCGTTTTCTGACCGTCCTGGGACCCGGTGAGGCCCCCAAAGGCCGCAAAGGATGAAAAACTTCCCGTCCTGATTTCGTCACGATGCGAGCATGTTTGGGCACCCGCCAATCATAATCGGAAGAAGTAGGAAGGCGGAGTTAAGTAGATTGGGTTCGGGCCCGCCCAACGAATCACTAACACATCAAAGCCAGATCGGCTATTGAAGCAGGACTAAGCTTGAGATATATTGGGATCTGGGAATCCAGAAACAATCCAGCCATGCCAACTTACAACGACCAGCGTGTACTCGTTTCGATCCCCCAGCTCGCGCGGCGCGCGCGCGGTGGGTAAGGGGGAGGGTTAGGTCGGGCGTGTCCCTCTACAGGCGGATCTTGGGCGACAAATGAAAAGTTGTATGGCCAAAAAACATAGAAAAATCGCCCCCAGACTATTCTTTTACTGCTTTCGAACCTTCCTCCTGTAGGAGGACAAGCCCGACCTAAGGGCACGGGGGAGGACGGGGGGGCGGCCTCCGCCCCGGCGCGTGGCCGCGCGGGCGCTCGGTCGAGCAGCCGCCTCTCGGGCTCCTGGCGCCCCGGCGGCCGCGCGGGTGGAGGGGGGCAGATCTGGGACGTATACATTGCCAGTGGTACTCCAGAGTTCGTAATCAAAGGGAGGGGGGTCTCATTTCGGGGGGGGGGTCTCTTCCAGGCTATCTTGGAGGGCCTGGAGGGGTCTGGGGACGATGTTTTGGAGGGTTCTCCCACGGGGGAGGTCCGAAATGGCTTGTCTTGGAGGGTCCAGACCCCCTCCCTTTTATTACGAAATCTGGAGTGGGCTGTTTCTCAATTCCACAACTTTTTGAAGGTTAGGGACGACGTCGGGGCGGCGTGGTGTATACTTTGTTGTTCCGTTTCCCAGGAGCCAGCGAACAATGTAAATAACCAGGGTCCCGTGTACACCAGGATCCGCTTTCCTGTGCGAAGTTCGGTGCAGGGCCGGAACAAGCGTCGGTGTATAGAGCTCGGTTCCCTAAGGGGGCGCGGGGGGGCCGCGGGGGGGCCCTGGCCTTTTGGAACGCGCTAGGGGCGCGTTCGACTCCCGATCGCCCATTGATCGCCGATAGGGGCCTCAGTAGCCTTGGGTCGGCCATGTCCTCCTACAGGGGGAATCTCGACGGAAAAAATTATCAAAACAAACAAATTCAAAAAATGGTGGAAAAATCGTCCCCAGACCATTTTTGAACTATTCTTGAATTTTCCTCCTGTAGAGGGACACGCCCGACTTCACAGTAGCCCACTCCACCCGGGAACGTGCGGACATGCCATCGCGGGCCTACGTCGCCGATCTATCGGCGACGTATTCGCCGATTCCAGGTCGGTGCTCTAGAGGCCTCCTAGATGGGGTCGGAGCAGATGGGGTCGGAGGATCGCGCCGCATCGCCGATACATCGGCGACGTCGACGTGAAGCAAATCAGGCTGCACATCCAGCCGCATCGTCGAGGCATCGGTGATGCGGCGCGACCCTCCGACCCCATCTACTCCGACCCCATCTGGGAGGCCCGGATGCTCGTCCTCCCGAGCCAGGCCCCCCCCTCACGTCCCCCCTCAGAAGGGGGGCAGGAGGGCACTGGCGAGCAGAGCAGACCCCTCCCGCACAGCGGCGGCGAGGCCAGGGGAGCAGTGAGAGGGAGGAGGCCCTCTGAGATGGCGGCGGGGCTTCCCGGAGCTCCCCGTGGCTGCTGGCAGACCGCCCGTGGCTCCGGGGTAGGCTTAGAACTCGCCGTCGCTCGGACGTCCATGTCCCGTGCATTTGTTCGGTTTCGTGCATGCTTTTTTTGTTTTGCTCGATGGTCCGGGATCGTCCTCAATGGTTCTGGCCGAGAAAGAGTGCACACGTCCGAGCGATGCCAGGAGAAAGCTGTTATCAGAGGGCGCGGGGGCTTCCGGGAAGCCCCGCCGCCCTCCGAGAAGGCTCGCCCCCATCCCACCTCCCGCCCTCCGAGGGCCTGCCGCCGACTCGTGTCGACTCCCACGGTTCGAGGTGGACTCGACCAAGCGTTGGAAAAACGGCACACCAGAAAGTGGGTGTCAGAAGATGCGCAGCGACAAACAATCCACGCGCCGATCCATGACTGGTGAAGCAACACGTCAATCTTCAAAACAAACACACACACACACAAACACACACACACACACGCGATGCCCTCTGCGCGTGTTGCTGAACATCTAAGGCCTGGGCCACAATTGGCCCGTGGTGTTTCGTCCCAGATGCACGAAACATTGTATTTCCAATCCGGGCATTTTTCCTCCGTTTCGGCCTCTGGGGCCCGCTTCCGGGCTCCGGGGCCCTCAGAAACGGGCCTGGGGCACAGAACTACCCCTGGAAAAGGGTCGGGACCTCTGGGGCTGGGGACTGAGAAAGAAAAGATCGTCGGATGTCAGGCTGCTGGGCTTCTGAAGCCCCTTTGGGGCCAGCTGGCTCCATACATTCCGACTGTGTTCGCTCAAAGGGCCACCGGCGCATGCACGAAGAGGGTGGCTTTTTCGAGAGCGAAGGCTTCTGCGAGAAGCGAACACATCGGGGCGGGAAAGAAACGTCTCTGCCATAGCCATAAGATTGTTCAGCCACGACGATACACTTCCTCCTCCACCTCCTCCTCCTTAACCAAGAAAACTATCCTCCTCCTCCTCCTCCTCCTCATCCTCCTCCTCCTCCTCCTTTTCCTTCCCTCTCCCTCCTGATCCGCCCGAATTATTTCGTTCGCCCCACATAGTGGGCTCGGGGTGTCCCGCAGAGGAGCCCACATGGCCTGCGAAACCACTGATAAAATTTCAACAACAAGCATCAAACCCGAAAAAAAACACCGTGTAGTCGTCGACCCAGGCATGCTGAAAGACAGACTAGTCATAAGACCGTGTCCCCCCCCCCCAAAAAAAACAGACAAAAAACAACAACAAACAAAAAACAAACAAACGCCAAATCCAACCCCACCACTTCGAGGAAGAGAAGGATAATCTATCCTAGTCACCGTTGCTAGATGGGCTGGTGGGTATGTTTTTTTCGGTCGCGGCCGCGAGACGACGGTTAGGCGGCAAGAGCAAAGTCTGGGACGCGAACTAGGCGAATTAGCTGAATCAGGCGCAGACCGGCCGGCCCACTCAGACAGCAGCCGCGAAGCTGAAGGGGAGGAGCTGACGGCGGACTAAACCATCGAAGCGTCACGTGCCTTGCGAAGACAAGCGTGCCTCTCGAAGGCATAGCAGCCTTTATTAACATCCACGATCTATGCGTGAGCTGACACCTACACAGGCAAGCTGCGAGTGCAATGCGTTTTCGGAGTGGCCGCCTTGGTGTGGTCGTTCTCGCCAAGTAGTCCGCCAACAGGGAATCCCGCCCTGCCAAGGTGGCGGAAGAACACGTTGAGGCATTCCACGCCCTCGCTGGAGTGGCCCCAGCGGACCTTGACATCGACATACTTGACCTTGACCCAGCTACCCTGCGGAAAATCGAAAGGCCCTCCCGCTCAAATCGTCCGCGTACTTGCCTGCCAAATTCAGGAACTTGAGAGAATGCCAGCTTGTGATTCACAAGTGATGCCGCCCCCCCAGGCTGATGAATAGAGCCCGCGGGGCGCGAAGCTATTCTTACAATCACGCGCGCTGAGGCTCGGAAGGCTCGGGGTGCCACCGCGCCGCGGATGAGGACAAAAGGCCGCCTCCGAAGGGAGCGGGCCCGCAGAGTGCAGCGCAGTGCGTGCGTGTGTGTGTGTTGCGCACATGCTGTGCGACCTGGTTCGTTCGCGGGCCCTGCGGTGCGAGCTGCCTGCTGTATTGGGCCTGTGAGCGTGCGCCGCTTGAGGCTTGAACTTTCGTTGAGGCTCTGGCTTCGTTTGCTCGTCCGGCCTGCGTTTTCCCGAACGCCCGCTGTCGAGGCCTCTCCCTGGCGCATGGCTGGTGCTAGACGCTCGACGCCAGCTTGACTTGTCCTAGAATCTCTCGTTCAAAAACTCACCTCCCGCCCTCATCTCCAGGAGGGTGCGGCGGCGGCGGCGGAGGAGGGGGCGGGAGAAGCACGGGCCCGCTCTGCTCGACTGCGAAGCAGGTTAAATGCGGCGGCGGGGAGGGCAACAGCAGCGGCTGCGACAGCCCCTGCCTCCGAGTCCGTGGCCACTTCGACCCGAGCGCCCCGCTGCAACACAGGCGCTGCTGCGCCTGGCGCCCCCTCGCAGGCGGCTGGGCGTCGGCGCAAAGCACCGGCGCCGCCGCCGCGTGTTTCCATTTGGCGGGCGCCCCCCCGCGAGTCGCCCGAGCAGGAGAACCATATGCTTAATCGCGCGCCTGGCTTGCATTTGCTGATCGCAAGCTGACATGTCAAGTCGGAACAAGCAAGGCCAGACCGCTCCGCACAGGGCTTCGGCGACCAGCAGCGACGTCTCCGCGGCCGCAACTCTGGGGATCTGAAGGAGCACGTGAGCCCCCGCCTGCACGATGTCGAAACGCTCCCCGGCGCATGGTCATCAGGTGGGGGTTGCCTACCGCGGCTGCGGTCACGACGCGGCTCGTCGAAGCTGGGCTCCCCACCAGCGCTGACGCATCGAAAGTAATGCCAGCCTCGGCAAAGGCGGAGCTGAGCAAAGCAGCTAACGACATCGGGTCCGCGGCCAGTATACCCGCAGATGCCGCCAAGTCGGCCGCCAGCTGCGAGTCGGATGTCTGGGCAGGGTAGGCCACATTGAAAAACCAAGGGCGGTTCCGCCCACCGACCGCCGCGCTTGAAGGGGCCCAAGGACACACAAATAAATACACACAAATAAAAATATTCCTCATATTTTCCCATATTTTCGGGTTTTTGTCTTCCCCCCCACTTCCCATATTTTCCTATATTTTCTGGGGAATCGAGGATGAATTGTGTCTGTGTGTGTTTTTGTTCCTCCTGAGCGCTGTTTGGCTGACCTTGGCAGTGAGCACCGAAAAATTGGATATATTCATATTCTGCACCAGAACTGGCTTCATGACACCAATGATCTCCGACTCGCTTCTTGAGCAAGACAGAAATCAGGCAACCCGCACGGTGGTTTCGGTAACCACGCCTGGAGCAGGCACCGGTGTCAGGGAAAGCGTCGGGGACTCCGTTGGGGATGGTGTCGGGGACGGCGTGGGAGATGGCGTCGGGTTGGACGTCGGATAAGGCATCGGGTTGGGGGTCGGGTAGGGCGTCGGATAGGGCGTCGGGTAGGGCGTCGGGTAGGGCGCCGGGTAGGGCGTCAGATAAGGCGTTGGGTAAGGCGTCGGGGCGGACGTCGTGGGCCCCGTCTTTCCGTACACACAGCTAACCCACGAATGTCTGAGGTTGGATGCTGTTGAGGTCGCCACATCGTGAAGATATACATTATCGACTGATTCATCGCAACCCTGGTCATACACACCAAAGCAGCTACTCAACCGTAAACATTGAGCTTTTGCATCCTTCGCGCTTGGCAATGTGTAGGTACCAGGCGATAGTCTCGTAGACCAGCAATGAAGTGAGGTGTGGTGGAACCAGCCAGACGCATGCGTAGCATTCGCGCGGGAGGCGTTCTGTTGATGGACGTCGCGTTGGATACGATCTTGCACCAGAATAGGCGTCGTTTTTGGAATGCCCTGGGAAAAAGAGCGCCACCACGTACTTGGTATATGGTGCCTTCACGGACGCTGCCATCCCAGGACACTTAGCAACCCGATATTACGCGGCTAAATTGAGGGTTCTCTATCCAAGATGGCTGTCTTGGCGGCTCTTGGGCCCGTCGTGGAACCCTCTTGGGCCGGTAGTGGACTGCATTGAAGCCATACAGAAACAAAAGCCCTCGGAAGCAAATGTCAGACCTATGGTTGTGCTTGGCGACTGGCATCTGAAATCATCTCTGGAGGCATCATTGGGCGCCTGCGTCCTTGCGGCTCTGCCCTTATGGCAGGCGCCAGACCCGGGTACTGTAATCAGTGCTCCCTGGTGTCCCTGGAATCCCTCTCCAAAATAGATGTATGCGAATGTATAAACACATTGGCATGACCATCTATACGCGCATGGTTCTATTACTACAGCGACCTCCCCTGTTCATAGAACGTAAGTCAGCCCAGATGAGGTCACGACCCACGAGGCCGATAGACAAACGCTTCGGCAAGGCCCAGGACGGCCCAAAATGTACACAAGGAGCCCCCAAGACGGCCACAGCGGGCAAAAAGGCGGCCCACTGTGACCGCAAGACGGCGCAACACGCTCCCTCGACGGCCCGAGGGGAGCAGAGGGGGCTTCCAGAAATCATGTGTCCCTCCTCCTCCTCCTCCTCCTCCTCCTCCTCCTCCTCCTCCTCCTCCCCCCAAGGTAAGTTGTCGCACGATGTTCTCACAGTCGCCTCCTCCGTCTTCGAAGCCGCCACGACGGCCCGAGAGATCTTTGAGCTCGCGCTGTATGGCCCGCTAGGCGCCCCGGAGATTGGTGTCGTCGGGCGTCGCCGTCGCCGTGGCCGTCGCACTCGCCGGCGCCGTCGCCGTTGCCCTCGCCGATCAGCCGAGGCACACGTGCACGCACTGCCTCAACTAATAGGCGAGTGCGACGGCGACGGCGACGGCGATGACAACGGCAGTGGCGACGACGACGACGACGACGACGAACGCGACGACGACGACGACGACAAACGCGACGACGCCCCCGTTCCCCCTAAGACCAGAATGATGTCATGACACAGATGGCTCAAGATACTTCACAGGAGTTCCAAGAGCACATAGCGGCCTTCAATTTCTGAGTCTGTGCGGAAGAACAGGAGACCCTGGAATTCTTGGAAAGAATGGAAGCTCTCATGCTCACGTTCGTCGACACCGTCATCATTATCAGCAGTAGCAGCAGCAGCACATCATCGACATCAGTATCAGCATCATCATCAGCAGCAGCAGCATCATCCTCATCAGCATCATCCTCCTCCTCCTCATCATCAACATCATGATCATCACGACCGTCATCATCATCGTCAGCATCACTACAATCACCACCACCATCATCACCATCACCATCACCATCATCGACACAATCACCAAGATCCCCACAAGCATCACCACAATAATTAGCATGATCGTCACCGTCATCACCACGATCAACACCATCATCACCATCACCATCACCATCAGATCATCATCACCATCATTAAAAGCATCACCACCATCCTCATCGTCATCATCATCATCAGCATCATCGCCATCGTCATCGTCATCGTGATCGTCAGCATCATCATAATCGCATGCATCACGCTCACCACCACCGCCACCACCACCATCACCATGGTCATCATCATCATCAGCAGCAGCAGAAGGACTAGCAGCATCATCATCACCACCACCACCACCACCGTCATCCTCATCATCATGATCATCATCATCCTCATCATCACCAACACCATCATCGCCATCGTCATCCTGGCCACAAAAACAACCAGCATCATCATGGACATCACCATCATAATAATCATCCCTACCGTCACCACCACCACCACCATCGTCATCATCACCATCGTTGGCACCACCTCTATCCAGATCACCACCATCAGCCAGCACCATCATCATCTTAGATCGTAATGTCCATCGTCATCGTCATCATCATCAGCAGCAGCAGCACATTAGCATCATCATCATCCTCATCATCATCATCATCATCATCATCATCGTCATCATCAGCATCATCAGCATCATCGTCATCATCATCACCAGCATCATCATCATCACAACCACCGTCATCATGATCACTGCCCCCACCAGCAGGATCATCATAATGCTCACCATCACCACCACCACCGCCATCATCATCATCATCATCATCAACAACATCATCATGATTACCATCTCCACCACAATCATCATCAACATCACCGCCAAAGCCGTCACCATTATCACCAGTCACTTTCAGAATCACCATTACCGCCACAATCATCATGATGATGCCCCTGGGAGCAATTATCGATCATCCTGGCCTTATCCGCAGCAATGACAGTAGTCAATTAATTCCCGAGCGGGGAGGAAGCGCCGAGCGGTATCGTTAAGACCACGACGACTCGATGAATAGAATAATTCCGCGCAGAGGGTGGGAGTAAGGGGAGTAAGACAGCCCCAGGGAGGCATTAAAACGGCCTCTTCGGTGGCATGAGCCCCAACTGGTCTTGATGGAAGTCTATTGAGGTCTTGTTGGAAGTCTATTACGACCTTGGTAGGATCCCAAACTAAGGGCTCCGGGGGCGGGAAGCGACGTGGTTTCACCCAAAAGGAAGGGGTCGATATTGTGTCCCACAGTTAATCGTCATCAGGATCAACATCATCATCATCATCATCATCATCATCATCATCATCATCATCATCATCATCATCATCATCATCATCATCATCATCATCATCTTCAACATCATCATCATCATCATCATCATCATCATCATCATCATCATCATCATAACCACCACCATCATCATCGTCATCATCATCATCATCATCATCATCATCAGCATCATCATGGCCACCACCACCACCAGCGTCACAAGCATTCACGATCACCATCCTCGCCATCATCATCACCATGGTCATGCCCATTATCACCGTCGTCACCTAAACCACCACCACCGTCATCATTATGATCATCATCATAAACATCATCATCATCATCATCGTCACCATTGTCATCATCATCATCATCATCATCATCATGATCATCATCATCATCATCACCATCATCATCATCATCACCATCATTACCATCATCATCACCATCACCATCATCGTCGTCGCCGCCGGATGCAGCAGCTGCATCATCAGCAGTAGCAGTCTCCTCCATTTCCTCACCCTCATCCTCATCCTCATTATGATCATCATCATCATCATCATCAGCATCATCATAAACATCAACATCAACGTCAACATCGTCATCATCGTCATCATCATCACCACGATCAACATCATCATTATCATCCTCTTCCTCTTTCTCATCATGATCATCATCATCATCATCAGCATCAGCATCATCATCAGCATCATCATCATCATCATCATCATCTTCATTCGCATCCTCAGCATCATCACCATCATCATCGCCATCGTCATCATCACCATCATTGGCATCCTCGTCATCATCATCAGCATCATCATTATCATCAGTGCCACCTCCATCATCAGCATCAGCATCATCGCCGTCATCATCAGCATCATTATCATCATCATCATCATAATCATCATCGTCGTCATCGCCATCGTCATCATCACCAACATCATCGTCATCAATCATCATCTTCATCGTCATCGGTATCATCATCAGCATGATGATTGTCATCATCATCATCATCATCATCATCATCATCATCATCATCACCAGCAGCATCATCATCAGCATCAGCGTAATCGTCATCATCAGCATCATCATCACCATCATCATCACCATCATCATGATCCTCGTCAACAGCATCATCAGCATCATCAGCATCATCATCATCCTCATCATCATCATCACCATCATCATCGTCGTAATCGTCATCGTCATCCTCGTCGTCATCGGCTGCAACAGCCTCCATATCCTCGTCCTTATCTTCCTCCTCCTCCTGCTGATCTTCCTCGTCATCGTCAGCATCATCATCAGAATCACCACCACCACCATCATCATCAGCATTGTCATCATCAGTAGCAGCATCATCATCAAAATCATCATCATCAGCTTCACCATCATCATCATCATCATCATCATCATCATCATCATCATCAGCATCATCATCATCATCATCATCATCATCATCATCATCATGATCATGATCATGATCATCATCATCATCATCATCATCGTCATCATCAGCAGCAGCATCATCATCTTCATCGTCATCAGATTGATCGTCATCGTAATCGTCATCGTCATCGTCCTCGTCGTGATCGACTGCAGCAGCCTCCATATCCTCGTCCTCCTCCTCCACATCATCATCCGCCTCGTCATCGTCAGCATCATCATCAGAATCACCACCACCACCACCATCATTATCAGCAGCATCAGCATTAGCATCAGCATCATCATCATCAGCATCATCATCAGCAGCATCATCATCAGCAGCATCATCTTCATCATGACGTCTTGTCCCTCCAACTGCCAGCGGCAGCCGCGGGGACTTGCGGGCCAAGAAGCACAGAGGGCGCCTCCTCAGGGCTGGCCTCGAGCTCGGAGCTGCCGGCCTGGCACTTCCAAACGTGGACGTCCTCGAGGCATCGAGGGATCGAGGGTTCGAGGGATCGAGGGATCGAGGGTCGAGAATGAAGGATTGAGCTTCGCGATTCGAGGATCGAGGCTCGAGGATCCAGGATCGGGGACCGAGGATCGAGGACCGACAATCGAGGTTCGAGGTTCGAGGACCGGACCGATGGTCGAGGATCGAGGCTCAAGGGGCATCGATCGTGGCTAGACGACCGAGGTTCGAAGTTTGCGGTTTTGAACCTTTTGGGGCTTCCCAGGGCGCCTTCGTGGTCACAGCTAACTCCACCTCGAATCCCTCGCCAGACCGCATCCCAGGACCCAGGATACGCTCTAGGGGAGTGGGCGAGAGGAGTCGCCTGCAGGCTCGAGCGGATCCCTGCTCCGACGCCAAGAGAAACTCACCAGTGAGGGCAACTCGCAGGTGACTTTCCCTCCTCGTGTTCCCAGACGCCATGCAGGCGGCATCAAGCGGCACGCATCACAACAGAAGCAATAATGCTAACGAGGACGCTAAATAGCCACGGCAACGGAACGACCGCAACGACGACCGAAGGGGCAATAACCTGATCCTCGACTGAGGAGTCGGTTGGAGGGGGGACAGGAGGAGGGGGAGCGAGTCAGGAGCACGCGGAAGGGGAGGGAGGGAGGCAGGGAGCGAACAAGGGATGAGAAGGAGAGCCGATCGGTCAGCAGCGAATCGAGAATTCGGATCGAATCGATTAATGCACGTCGAACGGGATCGAATCGAATCGAATCGAAATCGAATCGAATCGAAATTGGATCGAATCGATCGAACGAGGGATGAGAAGGAGAGCCGATCAGTCAGCAGTGAATCGAGAAATCGAATCGAATCGGAGTGCACGTCGAATCGGGAAGAGAACCTGGCGGCGCCTCCAGGGCCGCCCCTCGTGCGCTCCGCGCGAGGAGGAGGGTGTCCAGCGCCGACACAAATCCGCAGCCACCGAAGGTTACGCAGATGCAGTCTTCTCTGCTTCGAGGGGAGAAAGATGAAGGGGCCCCAGGACACACAAATAAATGCACACAAATAAAAAGATTCCCTATATTTTCCCATATTTTCTGGGTTTTTGTCTTCCCCCCCACTTCCCATATTTTCCCATATTTTCTGGTGAATCGCCGATTAATTGTGTCTGTGTGTTTCTTTACCTCCTGAAAAGAGAGAGAACTGTAGGGCACCTGCGCCGACGCCGTGCCGACCTTCGATACTGATGCTGGCGCCCGAGAAGGCGCATCAGCATTGAAGGGTGCAGTCGGGGGCTTGACCTAAGGAACCCAAAATAAGGAACGAGGCCCCTTTTTTCCATGAGTAAAACTTCGATTTCGCATCGAAAACATAGGAAAACCTGAGGCAAGCTGCGAAACATGTAAGGAACGCGGAGCCCCTCCCCAACGAAAAGGGTTCCTTCTTCAGGGCCCCGACTGTAGCGTCAGGGGAGGGACCAGCTGAGGGGGGGAGGAGGGGGAGGAGGGAGGGGTAGCGTCAGGGGGAACCGGCGATATGTCGTCAATGGACCGGCGATAGGCCCCCGATAGCGAATCCGAAAGCTCCTGGGCGGGGTGGGCTATCAAGCCCTAATCGGCGGTCAATGGGCGGGCGATGTTACCTCAGAGGTTACCCCCCCTGAGGTACCGATACCGCTACTCTTAGGTCGGGCATGTCCCACTACAGGCCGATTTTGGACGAAAAATAAGCCATACTCGAAACCGACTCTAAAAATATCGGAAAATAATCCAAAAAAATGCCACCTGACTATATTGTTACTATTTTGAATACTCCTCCTGCACAAGGACAGGCCCGATTTAACGCTACTCCCCAGACCTCACCCAAGGTGCGCTCTTGTCAAATTCCCTGGGGAATCCGACCGTGGGGACGAGGGCTCTCCAGGGCGAGCAGCGGCCTCTTCTCCTCCTCCTCCTTCGAGACTGTGAGGCCCCCGAGTCGAGCAGGGCAGGCGGGGAGAGAGAGAGAGAGAGCTGCGAGGCACTCCTCCTCCTCCTCCTCCTCCTCCTCCTTTTTCTTGTTCGTCTTCTTCTTCTTATTATTATTATTACTATTATTATTATTATTACTATTATTATTATTAGTATTATTCTTATTCTTCAGAGTATCATCATTATTATTATTAGTATTATTATTGTTATTATTATTAGTATTGTTATTCTTAGTGTTATTATTATCATTATCATCATTGTTATTATGATTATTATTGTTATTCTTATTGTTATTATTATTATTATGCTTCTTCTTCCTCCTCCTCCTCCTCCTCCTCCTCCTCCTCCTCCTCCTCCTCCTCCTCCTCCTCCTCCTCCTCTCAAGCCGGTTGGGCCCGAACCATTTTGGCGGGGCTCATTCTCCTGTGTTTTCACGAAGCGCTTGAAGGACTTTGCCCGCGCACCCCGCCGAGGGATTGCGCGGCACCGACTAGAGCAGGAGAGAACTCTTAGTATCCAATCGCAGCCATGGCGCCGGGTGCTCGACTGTGGTCTCGCTGTGCGTCATGCCAGACTTGCGAGTACAATAGCGTCTTGACTCGTAACTTGTTCATATGTGACCACTGTGGGGAAGAAGTGTTGCTGTTTCGTCCGAAGTCCACCACAGGGCCGAAGGTGCAGTTCGATCTGAATGAGAAGGAGGAGTCCGCCCTCGTGCACCCGAAGGGGATCCTCCGCGCCTCAAGGAGCTCCTCGCCAGCGCACGGCCAGAAGGCTGGCGGCAGGAGCGGGCGTGGCAGTGGCAAGAAGCCACCGTGGCGCGAGCAGCCTACCGAGGACGGCAGCCCCACTGAGGTCGCCTCCTTGTTGGCCCGCGCCGCGGCGGCCACATGCGATGATGATCTTAAGAACACATTGCAGCAGCAGGTCGTCAAGCTGGAGCGTGAGGCTGAGGAATCCAAGCAGCAGAAGACCTCTGCCGTGGAGTTGCTACGACGTGCTGACGGAGTGTTTCGCGACGCGGACCACAAGCACTCCCAGGCTGCGTCCAACGTGCTGCGGCTTCGAGGCCCCCTCGAAGCGGCGGAGCTCAAGGAGGCAGAGCTGTCCAAGCAGCTGGCCCAGGCAGCCCTCGCCAGGAAGGCAGCGGCCGCAGCTGTGGCGCACGCAGAGGGCGTGGGCAGCGCTGCTTGGGCTGATGGTGGCGATGCGGCCATGAAGGCCAATGATGACAAGCGTATATTTCACATGTCCTTGGATTCTGAATTCTTGAATAAGTTAGATGAGTTGGAGTGCGAGTTGGAGTGCGAGGAGGGCGAGCGCGCAGGTCTCAAGGAGATCCATGAGCGCTTGCTGGCCACGGAGAAGGAGATGACGGCCAAGGAGTCCGAGGTGCGGGATTGGCTGACCCGCATGGAGAAGCATCGTGCTGAGATCGCCGGGCGCCTCGCGAAGAAGCGGAGGGTAAACTCCGAGGATGGAGGTGCTGGTGGCGATGGAGCTGCTGCTGCGCATGGCGGCGGTGGCGGCGACGGGGCCCCTGCGGGCGAGCCCCGCGCTGAGGCGGCCAGTGGCGCAGCCGCCTCGGCCGCTGCCGCCGCCGCCCCACAGGCTGCAGCAGCCCAGTCGGCTGAGGTCGACGCCGAGGCGCAGCGCCTCTCGGCAGCCAAGCTCCTGGCAGAGCAGCACGTCGGCAAGGGCGTGAAGGGCCAGCGGCAGAACGGCAAGGGCAGAGGCCAGTCGCCTGCGAGCGCGGCCGCTGGTGCAGGAGGAGCTGGCGAGGCCAGCTCGTGACTAGCTCCCGCAGCGCCGAGCGCCGAGACGGCACCAGGTGTGCAGGAGCCTGCTGCTGTCAATGGGGAGTGCAAGATTGGCGCACCACGTTTATTCTATGCCAATGTATCCTGCATGGGGACAAAGCCTGGTCTAACATCGAGAACTCTGACTACGACTTCTATGCAGTAGTGGAGACACATGTACATCAACAGGCTGCTCTACGTCGTTGGGAAGGTAAGGCCAGGGGTCGTGGTCTACGTACAGTATTCAATCCAGCTCGACCTCGTGACAGGCAAGTATCACTGTCGCAGGAAGCGCATGCCAACGAAGGTGGGGGGTGGCTACTCGCCAAGAATCATCTTCGCGCTCATAGGTTACCAGCTGTCCGGGCCGCAGGTTCAAGGCTCATGGCGCCGTCTCACAAGGCGCTGGATGGCTTCGCTGTCATGCTCGTCTATTTCCAGGGATTCTCGATCGTGATCATCACGTTCTACGCCTTCCACAGCATGGGGCTTGGAGGAGCGAACGTAGGCCTATTTCAGCGGCTGTCTGCGCTGTTGCATGCCCTCCAGCTCCCATGGCTAGTTATTGGAGACTTCAACATGGGCCCTGCAGCACTGACCAAGACAGGGCTCTTGCAAAAGATTGGCGGCATGATAGTGACAGCAGATGTTGAAGCCACCTGCCCCTTGTCCACAGGCACACACACATAGATTACAGCATGTGTAGTATTGCGGCTAGGCCTTTCATTCTACAGGTGCTTCCAATCGAGTCAGCCCCTTGGAGGCCCCACATAGGCTTGGAGGTGCAGTTTAGGTTTAGGAACTCTGGGCAGCAGCTAGTCACTAGAGTTATGCAGGCTCCAGGACGCTTGCCCCAGGCTCCGCGCCCGTCGTGCATGCCCACTCCTGGTTCGAAGTCTAGTGTTGCCCGTGCGCGTAGGTGGTGCAGCAGCAAATAGCAGTGGCCTCTAGAAATGGACTGTGGGTCGACGACCTCTCACAACAGATTCGAGGATCACGTGCACACGTCCGTCGCGGGCTGAAGGCCTGCATCTTGGACACGTGCAGGTCCCTGGAGGCCAGCAAGCTGCGGGTGTCCCCGAAGTCGGTGGTCATGTGTACTGATGTTGCTGATGCGAGATGGATGGCTCGTGCTGTTCGACCGGCAGGGTACCACATCACGGCTCAGTCTCAGGCGAGCTTCCTTGGAGTGGACCTCAGTTGCGGGGTTCGAGCAGCACGCTCGACGCGCAACAAGAGGGACACTAAGCACAAGGGCATGAGTTTGAAGATCGGGAGGTTCGCCAAGGCGGCGCGTCGCTACAAGGCAACGCGCCGCCTGGAGCTCCAAGGCGCGCAGGCTGCGGGCACCTACGGCTTCCAGGTGCACGGGGCCTTCGGCCAGAGGCTGGCACGGCGACGGCTGGGGCTTGCGCGCGCGGCGCCGACGCGGGGCAGGTGCTTAACAACGCTGTTGGCGATCCGAGCGCCGCAGCAGGATCCAGGCGTCAAGCTCCCAGTGCAGTGCCTAGACGTATATATCCATTTGGCGTGACCATCCTGATGTACGGTCAGGGGTATCTCGTATTTGGCAGACAGTTGCACAGCAGCTTCGAGGAGTCCCAGAACGGCACCGCACCAAGTATGTCCGAGGACCAGTCTCAGCAGCTAGTTTACATCTTATCGAGTCGGGATGGTATGTGTCCTCGGCCACGGGGTGGGGTATCCCAGAACCTCACGAGTTTGCAGGTGATGAGTGGGGATTTGATGATGCGATGTATACTGGGGTGAAGGCCTTGGACAGCCATGCAGGTTTCCTCAAAGATTTGTCGGATGTGCTGCAGCGACGGTATTGGCAACAGGTTAATCAGCATTATTGTGGTGAAGGCTTGCAGGACGGATCTGACGTCGACTCCTATCGTGTTTTGATTCAACAATTACACGACGTCTCGCAGATTGGCCATCGGCTCAGTGAAGTTATGTTGTCGGTCGCAGTTGGCAGCACGTGGACGCGTGCAAGGAAGAAGGCAGAAATCCCACGGTTTGCTGGCACTGACAAGTGCCCTCGTTGCCAGCTTGAGCCTGAGACGCCTCTTCATCGCAGTTGGACGTGCAGTTCTAACACCAATAAGGAGGCGTATACCATGACAGGGGATCTAGTGTATCAGGCCACGGTGCAAGCGGAGGCTGAGCCAGCTTTTTGGCTAACGGGACTGCTGCCTGCCCCATGGGTGGCTGTCCCGCCTCCTGCCCACGCTGAGGCCTGGGTAATGACAGGTCCTTTCGAGCTGGGCCCAGGATGCCTCGGACATGGCACGGGCCAGGCTCCGCTGCTGCTCTTTGGCGACGCCAGCGGTGGCCCCGACACTGCTGTCACCAAGTTTCGCCGTGTTGGGTGTGCCATCGCACTTTTCCGCGAGCTGGAGCCCACAATGTCCATTGCAGGGACCATCAGTGGGCCACTCTGCGGTGACAGGCAGGCTGTTCCCCGCGGAGAGCTAAGGAGCTTGCTTCTAGCTGTTTGGGCTACGAGCGGCTTCATCACTTATGTAACAGATTGTGAGCCAGTCATCAAAGGCTGGTATGCCAGACGTTTCGAGTATCCGAGCGGGCCCGATGCGGACCTGTGGGCTCAGCTCGGACAACTCATGCAGGAGCGTGGTTTCAACTCCGTATCTTTGATTTTCGTGCACTGCCACCTCGGGGGTGCGGAGATCCAGGCTGGAGCCGCTCCGAGATCGGCGGTCACTGGCAACACGATTGTTGATGTTGTGGCGGGAGCTGCGGCCAACGCTGCTCGCTTGCCAGAGTCTCTCCGCCAACGTATTCTCATCCACGAGCGGAGAGCGAGGCTTGTGCGTTTGCGCCTGCTGAGGGCGACGATCGACGCGATGGAGGACGATGCGGCCCCTGGTGCTCAGGAAAAAGCATCATCCTCCTCCGTCCCCCGTCATCCCTCTGCTGATGCCCTCTCCCTCTTCTCTACCTCTCACGCTCTCGATGAGAATGGGAGGAGGTGCACTTGTTGTGGAGGATCGGCCAGCAGGGCTGCTGCAACAAAGTGGCGCCAGTCAGAATGTTTCCAGCCCGTCAACTATAATGGGTCCATCCTTTATTAGCCCCCCATGGCACGTCTGCACATAGCGGGGGGGTGGGTGGATCAATCTCATGCCATGCAGTATCAATCACATCTTAAGCTCTGCTATTGTAAGTTGTGCGGTTCGTTTGCCTCCGAGGTCCTACGTGAACTTGGCAAGGCCTGTACCAAGCGTGTCGCCACACATCGAGCTGTGTATCTCGATCGGATTTCGCGTGGTTTATGGCCTAAGGTTTTAAGTGCACGTGAGAAGCAGAGCCGTGGTCCTGTATAGTCATGCCTTCATGTGTAATTCGTCACGTAATGTTGGCACAGTTGACTCTGTCACATGGTCATATCCTTATTCCTTATCAGAATATACTCCTACTCCCCCCTCAGGCCGGCAGATAGCGGGCGCATCCGGGTGGTCCCATCCTAACCTGTAAAAAACAATACAAAATCAACATTTTTCTTATTTTTTCCTCTCGACATGGACGTCCTGTCGTCCACGGCGATAATCCATTGCAAAAAACACCACAAAGAGCACACGCGCGCGTTCATGTCAGAATCCTACCGAACACCGTGTGTTTGCAAGCATTTCAACATAAAAACATCAAAAACCCAATGCTTTTTCACAAAAAATTGTACAAATTTCCCGCCCGGGCTCTCTTGCTGAAATCATAGGAAAACCATAGGAATCTTAAGAATTCGGTCAAATCCAGCGATTTCACGTCATCGCGCGGTGCACTCGCGATGCTCTGTCATGCACCCAGGCCGCGAATCCTGTGCAAAAAATACTACAAAGAGCACACTCGCGCGTTCATGTCAGAATCCTACCGAACACCGTGTTTTGCAAGCATTTCAACATAAAAACATCAAAAACCCAATGCTTTTTCACAAAAATGCTTTGGGGTGTCCTGTCAGACCGTCGGGCTTCCTCCGGCCACCTCTGGCTTCCTGCGGTGTACCGGGCCATTCTCGACTCGTCTGGCAATGCGTGCGCGGCATTCAACACGCGCTCGCCAGTTCCCGTCGGCAACCGCCATCGCGGCCGCATCAGCTGTACCAAACCGGCTGGCCGGTGTGACTTCGGCCCCCAGTTGTGCCAGCTTTGCTTCTTATGTTGTGGGAGGGCGGGTGGGACTGGGCATGCCATGCTTGACTCGCTCGAGCTGGCTAGCTTGACTCATACTCATACTCATACTCATACTACTCTCATACTCATACTCCATCCTCCTCCTCCTCCTCCTCCTCCTCCTCCTCCTCCTCCTCCTCCTCCTCCTCCTCCTCCTCCTCCTCCTCCTCCTCCTCCTCCTCCTCCTCCCTCATCCGACGGCCGCGCAGGCCTTCGCGACGGGAGCCCGAACGCCCGAGGGGGCGCGCCGGCGTGCGGCCAGAGTGCGGCGAGGGGCGGGCAGGCCAGCGAGGACGGCAGCAGGGGCCAAGCAGCGGGTCGGTCGAGGCGAGGGGGGCAAGGAGTCGGCGGCGAGCCCGGGGGGGAAAGTCCAACGGGGCGGGCAGTCTCCTCGCAAGGCTCGGAAGGTCTCCGTCTTCTCAGAAGTTCTCGAAGCTTCTCACAGATCCGTCCTCCTCCTCCTCCTCCTCCTCCTCCTCCTCCTCCTCCTCCTCCTCCTCCTCCTCCTTCTCCCCCTCCTCCACGGAAGGCCGGAGGGCTTCTGAAGAGCCCCCCCACTCACTTCCCCGACGGGCTCGCCGCCGAACGAGAGCAGGGAAGGAAGAACGTACGGCGGGTTCATTGGGGGGGCCCTGGGACACACGAATACATAGACACAAATCACAGGATCCCCCCTATGTTCCCATATTTTCTGGGTTTTTGTCTTCCCCCCACTTCCCATATGTTTCCACATTTTCTGGGGAATCGACGATTAATTGTGTCTGTGTGATTTTCCCCCCCTGAGTCATGCCGCGAGAATTTGAGCGCTGGTTTCTGGGAAACTCGAATCTGCCTGACGGGCCCGACGGAAAAATGGCGAGAACTGTTCTGCAATTTGGTGCGAACTCCGATTGCAGACATCTCACGAAACCGTGGCCGTCGAAACTCATTCCAGGACCGTCACAAAGGAGCAGCAAATTAGAGTTTTGGCAATACTGGGTCCTGCGTTCCCCCGATGAAGTGATCGCGTCTTCCCGATGGCGCAAATCTTTCGATCTTGGTCGATCACGGGTCACCGGCGGCGTTCAACTGCGATTGGCGGCGCGCACAAGGGGGTAGGGGGAGGGGGGGGAGGCTTCTTAAAAGGAGGCTGCTTCTTAGAAGGCGCCATCCTTACATCTATAGACAAAGCCCGCACCGTCTAAGAAGCGGGTGTTTTTAAGAAGTCCCCCCCCTCCCGCTACCCACCTCTGCGCGTGGCCGATGTGAACGCACGTCGACACGTCACGGACCTACCGTGATTGCAGTACCCCGCGTCTCGCCTGACACACAAGATTGGCCACGCGCACCACGTCCGGCCTGGCGCTGTTGCTGTACAGCCTGGCGAACCTCAGCTCTGCGAGCCTCTCCCGCCTCCCGTTTCGTCCTTCTCCTCTCCCTTTTCATTTTCATCTCCCTCTCCCTCTCCCTCCTCCTCGTCCTCCTCCTCCTCCTCCTCCTCCTCCTCCTCCTCCTCCTCCTCCTCCTCCTCCTCCTCCTCCTCCTCCTCCTCCTCCTCCTCTCCGTAGCCATATTGGCTCAAGACTGATGAGTTGGCGGGCTAAGCCCGCATTGGCAACACTGGATACCGCTAGTCCGCGGCAGCTTTCAATCTTTTCACTTTCTGACAGTTGGTCCGCCCCAGCTGTTCAGCTGCCTCCTGCGGCCCCGCAGGTGAGCAGATTCTCTCTCAAGACGACGCATCGATGGGGCCTCGGGAGCAGAATGCGAGCAAGTGGTTCTGCAAGAGTTGCAAAAACGAACGTACGGGCAAGCAGTGGTGGAACATGGCGCACGCGAAAAAGTGTGTGCTGTGCGGCCTGGCGAAAGGAGTCACGTTCGGCGGGAATGTTCAGCCGCTGGAGCCTTCATTCCGTGCCAAGCCACCTGAGGCCCCTTTGGAGGATCCAGGCTCAGCAGGCTGACGCCGCTGGGCAAAGCAAGATTCGGGAGCTGGAAGCGCGGATCCGAGTGTTGCAGGCAGAGGTCAAAAAGAGCGCTCCACAGACTGGGGAAGCCATGCTGGTCGATGACGGAAAGGACGACGAGGCGGACATGCGCAAAAGGCTCAAAGAGATTGAGGAGCAGCTGGCGTTCGCGTCCAAGTACAGCTGGGACTCGAAGGCGAGTGCGTATGTGGGAACTCTGCGGGAGGAGAAGGAGCGGCTGCATGCCAAGTTGCAGGAGTCGCGTCCCATGTATGCCAAGCTGCAGACGATGTCGAATCGGCTCAAGTCGGCGGAGAAAAGGGCTGATGCTTCTCGCGAACTCGTGGCGGCAAGAAAGCAGCAGCTTAAGGAGGTCCAAGAGAGCCCGGTGCTGGCCCAGCAGGACCTCGAGGAGCAGGAGAAGGAAGTGGTTGCTCTCAGTGCGCAGGTGCAGGAGCTCACGAAGCGGGCCCCGCTTGCTCCTGAGGAGGCCGCGTTGCAGGAGAAGGGCAAGGGCATGCGTGTCGATGTGGACGCCTTGGGCAAGATGCTCGAGGCGTTGGGGCTTGCAGCCGAGCAAGCTGGTGGCCTGGCGCAGGCTTTGTCGGCCAGCATGGGCCAGATACCGGTGGAGAAGGTCTCCTTGGAAGAGGCGGAGCGGGCTGTCAGCGCGGTCGAGCGCCCTCCCGCGCAAGAGATGGCTGCTGGCGCAGGCTCGGGCGCTGCCGCTGACGGGGACGGCGTTGCAGGAGAGCTCGGCGTGGAGGACCTTCCGCCCGCTGAGTCGCCCAAGCCACTGGCCGACATCATTGCCGATGCCAAGGAGGAGCTTAGGGCGTCTCTCGAGGCGTTGTACCCCGCGGACCTCGCTGAGCACATACCCAAGGACTTGGAAGGCCTTAGGGTTGCTGCTGGTCGTGTGGTTCAGATGCCTCTGTTCAATCAAGGTCGACAGCGACTCGCAGTCGTGCATGCACCCTATTGAGATGCCGAGGAATGGGGTTCCACTTTTTCATCCGCAGCATGATGCTGCTGCGCGGCGCCCTGCGTATGATGGGCGCACTGGTGTCGATGATAGTGCTGCAAGGATTGCACATGGCTTTGACTGCGTCGACGACGTTGGGTTCGATCAGGACGAGTTCTTTGGCATCGGTGGCTTCGCCTGGTATTGCTGTGGGCGATACTGGCATTGGCGGCTCAGGGGCCGCTTATTCTCCTCCAAACCTTGAACTGAACGCAGCTTCTGGGGAAAAAAAGTGTGTCAGGACGCGGCAGGGGTACAGTTGGGGCCCCTGTTCGTAAGATTATTGTCGACGAACAAGTTCCTGGTGTGGCTCGAGGATCGACTGAAAGCAGTGCTGTTTCAGATATTGAGGCGGCTGGTGTGTCTGGTGTTATTCTTAATGAGCAGAGCGGGATGAACAGCAACGTTGCCCATCACGCCGCCAGCGTACAGATGGAGTGCGAGGAACGGCCCAAGTATGACCTCAAGTTGAAGGGTAACATCACTTCTGTCAATTTGGAGGGGCTTGGGCCATTCAAGATATTTATGGAGACGTGCAGGTCCAAGGTTTGCATGGTGCAGGAGCATCGTACATTAACGCAGCATCTACCTGCTCTGCAGGCGCACGTGCGTGACCTTGGGTATCATGGATTCTTTGGAGGTGCAGCGCAGACAGGGGCGGACGGCAAGTCAGGTGGGGTGGCAATCTTGGCCCCCACTCATATTGTGGTCAAGGCCCCGCCCGCACTTCCTGATCATGTGATTGAGCCAGGTCGTATCTCTGCAGCTGGTGCCTCTTGGATTGTGCCAGGTGGAGTTGGTATCGTTGCCATATATTTTAGTTCAGGAGAAGGTATGAGTGCGGCCAACGAGGCACTCCTCGTCAAGACGACTCGGTATCTTTCGGTGTTGAATGCCTTGGGACGTGGCTGGATTGCGATGGGCGGCCGGAATCTCACTCCAGATTTGCTTTATTCTGGTTGGCTGGAGGGCGCTCGGGGCTTCGTAGCGGCGCCATCGAGACCCACTTGCCTTCTGGTACAGCCTGGCAGCGTGTATGACTACGCCATTGTGCGCGCCAATTTGGGAACTCGGACTCGCAAGCCCTACGTCGTGGACGACAGCAACACGAAGGTGCATCTACCTGTGGTGCTTCCCATGCTAGCGGAGGACAGGCCTGCTTGGGTACGTCGGGTCGCGGGTCCTATCCCCTTTCCCAAGGTGCCGCCGATTGGGTGCGAGAGGTTTCCTTGTGACTGGAGGGACGTGGAGAGACAGGTGTTCTATGCCCTGTCCGAGGATGACCTGAGTCTGGCTTGGGATGCGTTATTGGCTGGCATTGAATTTGAGTTGCAGGGCGTCTATGACTGCGTGGATGGGCCAAAGGCTGCATCGACGTCAGGACGCGGGGGACCTCTGGCCACCCAGGTGGTTCAGTCCAGATGGCGACCTCCATTGGCAAGGTTGCAACATGGACCTGAGCTACGTGCCTGGAGGGCGGCTCTTCGCTGGATTGGTCCGTGTCGGAGGGTCCAGGGGCATGTCGCGAAGCTGGTTGGAAAAATGCTAATCTTGCAGAATGGGAACAGGATCGTAAACGGTCGGGCTAATTGTTCTGCGCTGGCTAAAGTGCTGGTGGGATACACGAGGTTTATGCATGGCGTTCGAGGGTGTGAAAGCACGCTCAGGTTGCTGCCTGCATGGGTGTCTGAGTTCTTCATGACCACTCCTGTGTTTTCGATTATTGCATGCGCGGAGTTTGAACAGGTCTGTGCCCATATCGAGAAGGAGCATGATAGGTTGCTTGATGCTCATCAGAAGGTCGGTCGCTCACGTTGGAAAAGGTCCGTCGACTCTGCCTTTGAGAGGGGAGCAAGTGGAGCGCATCGATCCACTCGGTTGCAGGCGACACAGGAGATCATCGATGCCCATCGGAGATGATATGGGGAAACAGGCAGGGTTATTCGTCATCGGGCTCTGCGTTTCTCCACAATGCCATGGCTGAAATGTCTAAACTTCTTGGGGAATATTCGATTACGGTTACGATGGATATGTGGAAGTGTTTTGACACGGTGAGGGTATCCAATCTATTTCGTGAAGCGCGTGAAGTTGGATTCCCGTTGCGTTTGCTGTGGCAGCTGGTCACCTCATATAAGATGCCGAGGGCGATGAAGGCTGTTGGCTCGATCTCTTACATGCGCGAGGTGGAGCAAGGCATTATTCCTGGCTGCACCCATGCGACTACTCTGCTCACAATGCCCATGATTCGCACGCTGATCAGTGCACAGGAGATTTGTCCTACCGTGCACCCTCGGGCACTGGTTGATGATTGTACCTTGCAATGGGTTGGCCAGGACCTTGATGGGATGACCGGGCTGATCAAGGCCACCAGGATCTTTAAGAGTGGCATGCGAAGTCTGGGATTACTTGTTCAACCTGTGAAGTCAGGCTACGTGGGCACAACTCGTGCAGTGATCAAGAGATTTCCTCCATGGGCTAAGATGTTGAGGCTCACGCGAAGGAAGCAGATGCGCAATCTTGGGCATGACATGGTCGGAGGCAAGGTGATCCGCACGGTGGCCAAGGGTCGCTTGGGTAAACTACAGAAGAGGATGGGTCGCGTCAAGGTGCTCCAAGCGACTGCAGGCTCCAAAGTGGGGGCCAGTTGGCGGTCTGGTTTGCTTGCTGGGGCAGCACATGGAAACTCGGTATCAGGAGTGCCTGATTGCGACTTGAAGCAGTTACGGCAGACGGCTGGGGTGATAACTGGTGCCCATGCTAAGGGAGCCAGTGTCACGGCTTATCTGACCACGCAGAGGGACAAGTTCATGGATCCTATGTTTGATGCGACTCTCAACATGGTGTACATGTACGCTTGCTTCGTGTTCGACGTGCGTTTGGATATGGGCAGGCTTGAGCGGTCCTGGCGTGTGTTGCAGTCTCTTTGGTTTGGACGGGATCCAGGATGGCAGGGTGTTCGAGGTCCCATCGCGGCCACGTGGCTATCTCTACGACGTGTGGGGTGGGACATGGCCAAAAGCACCTCCATCGTCAGCGACACTGGTATGGTCATTTCGCTGTTGAGAATGCCTCCCAAGGATGTTAGACAGCTACTACGGCTCGGCGTGCAGCGTTGGCAAGGACGAAGCATCCTTGAGCACCATGCGGAGCATCTTGAAGGTAATGAGACGGTGTGGATGCGGGCAGTCAACCTAACGGTGGGAGGCAAGGCGGCTACCATTCAAAATGCCCAAGTCGCGGGTGCCCTACGGTGCTTGTGGGCTGGTGGGTTCATGTCTGTGCAGAGAAGGCACCAACGTGGATGGTTGAGGACGCCGCATTGCCCGCATCCTGACTGCCGCCAGCGAGGGGCCGGTGGAGATCTTGGTCATTCTTGGTATGCGTGCCCGACTTTGCTC